CTCCTTCTTTTTTCAAACTCCAGAAAGGAAATGATCCGCGTTCTTTCCAGTGTCGGTGGTGCAAAGGCACGTTCATACATGGCCTTCGCACTTACTATAATCTCTACGCTCACCGTGATGGCGCCAAGGGGCGTTCCTCCTGCCCTCGACGATCTCTCGCCATCCAGTCCGGCTGCGATCTTCCTATCACCTGGGCTCAAGAGCATGCAGCAAACGCCACTGCTTCCAATGAAGTAGCCGGTCAACCAACCCTTGACTCCTTCCTGTCACAGGCTACCTTTAGTGTTGAGCTGTGCAACACCGTATTGGTGATGTGGGTTATGAGACAAGCACTTCCCTTTAATAGATTCTACGACGTTCCTCTCCGCGCGGCTTTCAAGCTCGCAAATCGTCGTGCTGATTTAAGGACGCCCACCTGGGCTGCTGGTGTGGCAAATGACTTGTACAAGAGCTTGAGCTCAGCAGCGATCGCTTCAGTCTCAGTAAGTCAATCTTCTTCCGAAAAAGTCCTTTCCCATCTCTTTATCTAACCATGACTTGTTTTTTTAATATGAAAATAGTGCAAAGTTTTCCCTCCAACATGACAGTTGGACTACGAAAGGTAATCGATATGCATTCATAGGAGTTTTGGCTAACTTCATCGACCAGGACTGGGTGTATAGAACTGTTCACCTCACTTTAAAACTTTTTGCATGGAACAAATTCGGCTTTCTCTTGGCGCAACCAGTGGGACGCTTCCTGATAAAGCATGGCCTCCATCAAAAAATAAGTTTTTTTCATTTTTCTGTTCATTCTATTGTTCTAATAGCGTTGCCTAAAAACTAACATCTTTTGATTTGTATTTCTCTCTATTACATGATAGGTCAGGCAATGGATTCCGGTTCGTCTAACAATACGATGGCACGGGAAATGGAGGTTATGTTCTCCGAGTGCAACGATCCCGTTGAATGGGACTCGGCGCCAAATCACGTCCGCTGCTACGCCCACAAGCTAGGCTTGGTGGTCAAGAAAGGTTTGAAAGTCCTTGGACTTGCAGCTGGACATGTCAAGCCAACTACCCCTCCTAACACTTCCGTGCCCGTCCCCATTGTGACTCTCAACGACGACTTGACCGAGGATGCAGTCAACTATGATTCCTCTGATGATGATGAAGACACCCTCAATTCACAAGCTGGCGCCGGCGCCAGAACATCGACTGATGAAGATGAAGATCCCGATGATTATCCATCATACAAAGATGATCCGACTGACGGATGCATCGTTGTTAAGGGTGCCATGAAGGTAATCTCTCTCGCTTTCATCTCTATCTTTATATATTGATGTCTTGCATAGCTGACATCAACATCTCTCAGTTGAAGGATTTCAACGCGTTACTTACACCTAGCAATGCCCGGCAAGGCGAGTTCAAAGCACGCGCCAAGCAGATGAACTATCATGGACCCGGACCGATCGCTGGTTGGGGAGTTAGATGGAACATTGATCTTGCAATGTATTCGGCGCTGGTGGCCGCTCGCGACGTAAGTTTGATTCATCTAAGGCATACTAACTTTTGGACTGACCATTCTATTTATTCTTAGGTTGTCGATTCAATCCTCATCGCTGACCGCAAAACCAGATACTATGGTGGTATCATGATGTCAATGGATGAATGGGACGCTGTGGAATCTTTATGCAAGATCTTAGAGGTAAGTCTTTGTTTCTTTGTTTCTTATGTTTTTTCAATAGTTTGATACTTGTTGACATACCTGTTGTTCAGGTTTTTCGTATTTCAACCAAACACATGGAAGGAAACACTATCACCGGTTCCATGATGTTGGCCGAGTACCTCCGAGTCATTCAATCCCTGAACAACACTTGCACCACAACTACCTTCCATAGTCTTGTCCGCATGATAGAAGTCATGTTATCCCAGCTCACAGTCTACCAGGATGAAGCTTTATCCTCCGACCTGGTAATCGTGGCTACTGTCCTCAACCCAAAATATCGACTTCGATTTTTCAAGCTGCACTACGCAGATTACGCTGGACGAGCCAAGCGCCTCATCGAAGAGGTGTTTGAATCTACCTTGGAAAGTTGGCCAGTCACCCCGGCCTCTACCCCAGCTCCAACTCCCTCTCCCAGTGCGAATGCCATTGTTGATCACTTTGACATTTTTACCTCATCTGCCCTTCAAACTTCGGAATCCGTTTGGTCAAGTGAACTTGAATCTGATCTTCAGGGCAATAATCTGATTGTCCCTGGACAATCAGAACTGCTTTGGTGGAAGGTGTGTCTCATTTCCAAGTATCTTGATTGATTTGAAACTTACTCATCCACTTTTATTTGATTGCAACAGGAAAACACGCCCAATTTTGAAGTACTTGCTTCACTTGCCCGCAACTACCTCACGATTTCTGGTACGACCTGCGCACAGGAACGCACCTTCTCTTCGGCGGCTGACGTTGCCGTTCCTGGACGTGGCTCATTAAAACCAAAGACCATCTTGCGGGCTGTTGGATGTAGGGAATGGCTGCGATCAGGTATCAAGACCAATGACAAGTTTTCTGAAAGCCTTGCTTATCTGGAGTTGTTTGAAAAACACGCACAAACCAAACAATCTCAGATCATCTTATTGTGAATCTGATCATTGTGCTTATCTCTCTGTTTTACTTATCTTTCTTTACTTTATCCAGTCACTTAGTTATCTTATCACTTTTTGCCTATCACTTTCTGTTCTTTTGCTGCTTGTCTGTCTCCTTACTTTGTCTTTTTTTACTATTTTACACTCGTTAATTTCCTAATCTGACTTTTTTTCATTTACTTATATTTCTTGTCACTCTTTTATATCTGATTTACATATGATACTTGATTTGTTTTTCTTATATCATATTGTACATACATTTTCCTTGCGGTGTTGACATTTGAAAAAAAAATTGTGTATAAACTCTCGCCTCGTGCCGCCCCCTTACCCTAAAAAATGATAAAGCGGAGCAAGAGCGCGTCCAATAGGCGCCGCGCTACATCATTCATGTAGCGGGTGTTTTTTAAAAGCGGATCGAGAGCGCTGTCCTCTGTAGCGGTATCCCGCCCCTCTACACAAAACCCGCCAAAAAGCGGATCAAAGCGGGTCGCTTCAGGTGTTGGTTGTATGTGACCTCTCCAAGAGTGTATTGCTCTTGCAGCTTTGTGATCCAAAGGTCCGAGCTTGATCAAATGAGTTCCTACCAGCCTCTACCGGCTGACTGATATGAAAATGAGCTTGGAACCTGTTAAATCATTGGACTAGCGTGAAGTGGCCAAATCTGACAACAAAGATAAGTTAGTTTGAAGTTGGTCAGGTCACTTCAAGTCTAAAGAGCCCAAGTGGGAGGAGAGATTAGTAAACATGTGACACACGGGTTATGGGTGGTGGGTTGTTTCACAGGTATAAAACAGTTAGAAAAGGTTGTGAAACATCTGGGTCTCAGCAACTGAGACTCAGTCTTGGACCTCTCAATAGCCCTATTTTCTATAAAGCTTAGAGGAATGGCTGAATGTGCATGGCTAATCATTGATACTCATTGAGTTGCTGAGCTTCTCAGATGAAACATATTTGCAATGCAGTCTGGATGCAACTGTGAGGCTCTGACCCTCCTCGACATTGAGGGGGGATCTGGTGGTCCTTGTGTTAGCTTGTGGGTAAGATTTTCTCATTTCTCTTTGGATATCAGCTTGTCTTAACAACTCTGCAGTTGTTTGTAATTCCTCAATTGAGCTTTCTCTTCTATATTGAACATTTTCAATATGAGGCTCAACTAGTGAATTAAGTACTTGCAACTGGTGCTGTAGTCTCTCTTCTAGGAGGACAATGTACTGCTTCTGGTTGTCTCATATGTGGTGGTGTCATTCTCAGAAAAGGTGTATCCTGCCTCTTTGAGTTATCCACTACATGTCTTTTGTACGGAATGCAACATGTGCCAAAGTGACAACTTGAAATTTTGAAAATTGAAATATCAGAATCCCCGGGTCAGAAATTGACAAAACTGGAATAAACACCAGATTTAACCCCAATACTGGTCTGAAACCCCCGGTATTGGGGATAAAACCTATCTTTCTGCCAGTTTTCACAGGTTTCAATCCACAAATCAAATATCAACCACTGACTTGGCATTTTGGCACAAATAATACATGAAAATTTCAAGAAATCAATTTTCATCATGTCAAACTTCACATATGTATAAAACAACAAAACCCAATACCTAACCGTACCACAAGTTCACCTTTTGGGTAAATGCACACCCATCAAAACCTAATGTGATCATTACTACAATCCCTACAGAGTCAACCAGAGAGAAAACTTACAACCAATCACTATCAGCTTTCACCTATTCCACAAAGGCTAACTTGTCAAACCAACTCAACACCATCCGACTCACATACAACCCTTCTTTTCACACCGCATCATGAACAACACACAGCATTCTCAATGTGCCCTATGTCCCTCAACTCTACGCTCTGGAGAACTCAGGATCTGTAGACCTTGCCTAGAGTCAAACTTGGAGCATTCCAATGCTCAAAAACCAACCCGCTTGCAATCTCAGTCTTCAACCTGTCCTCCTGCTCCTAATATTGCCACTGCTAGAGCTGCAGCCCAATCAATCATTGCAAAATCCGTCTCTACTGGCTCTCATGTCAATTCACTGCATCAAAAGAAGGCAGACCGGGACACTTTCCGAGCTCAAGCTAGTAGCAAGCGAATGTATGGTCACCCAGAAGCCCCGAAACCAGCACCCTTTTCTACACCAGCTGGGCGTGCATGCTCTGTTGGATGGATGTTTCAGTACAACAACAAGCATCACACCCACAGTTTGGTCCGTGGAATTGTTAATGTCAATAGGAATCTTAGATCTATCTTAGCCCCAACAAAGAAAGCGATTTTTGACCTTTGGGACCACACACCGGTATCTGACAACAAATATCCTCAACCACCTCTTGAATACAATCCTCAATGGTTTTCTCTGGCCAAGCCTGGCAAAGGTAAAATGCCACCCTGTATTTTGCACGATGATGAAGTCCTTGGTAATCACCTAGACACCACCAAAGGCGAACCAGCTTTTGAACTTATCTTCCTTGCTGAAAGGTATTATTCCACCCATCCCAATATTGTGAGACCTCTCACCTCAGTGACTACGGCTAAGACTAAAAGAGGCAAAAGAAAAGCTTCAGAAGAATTGACCATTTCAGATCAGGAGCTTGACGATTACTTCAGTAGTGACAGTTCTCTCGGTACTGCTAGATATTCATTGAGCAAAACCACCAGAAAGAAATCCAAGTCGACCCCTTCAACTTCTACGCGAATCACCTCACCACCCCTAACCCGCACCAAAAGGGCTACAACCTCAAAGTTGAACCAACCTGTCAGGCCTTTTAAAAGTCAGACCATTAATAATAGCTTAAGCTCTCTACCACCACTTTTCACTCCTCCGCCCAACATGAGGCACTTAAATGCAATTGATGAAAGAGCACAAATCACAGAGGTAGTACCACCAAATCACACACGTAAGTGAAAGCTCACTGCTCTGAATTCTCAACAAAAATCTGACATTCCATTTTTGTTTGTAGTTGTAGCCTTTGATTTCCGTGCACCCATGGACATTCCTGCCTTTGGGCAAAACTTTCCAATGGCTGCACCACTTCCATCTAATCCAACATCAGATGGTTTTATTGACGGAAAGAGATTACACATGCAATCTAATTCCAAAGGAAAGCCTGAATGGAAGGCAGTTCAGTATTATTTCAAGGTTGATGAGAGTATAAAAATTGGTGAAGGTGGTTTCAGGATATGCTACAAAGCCTTTCGAAAGGATGCAACAGGTGATGTGAAACCTATGGTGGCTAAAAAGCAGATGGTTTTGCCCTACTGTAAATCTGTGCTGGATGTTCACAGAGAATCCGGTGGAACTTATGCTGCGGTCGCAAGTGTTATTGAGCAATTCAAGCAAAAGGCATTGGAAGTTGATAGGATCAAGCTCTCCCCTCATCTAGCAAGAATAATTGGCGACATACGTGTAAGTCTAGGAACCAGTTTGATGTCTAGTATGATACTAACCATATTGAATATCTCAGATTGTAAATAACTTTCCAGTCTACTCGGGGAGAAGTATGAGTCCAGATTCAGCATATTTCTTCAAAGAACTGCTTGATGTCAAGAATTATTGCAAATATACTAGCAATGTCAACTTTGAGACTTGTGGACCAGAAGGTGACATGACTCATGATGTGATGCACCCACTGACTCATTGGTCATACCAATACTATAGTGGCAAGCGGATAGTTGCTGACCTGCAAGGGGTAGGAAGTGTCCTTACTGACCTATTGATTGTGTATGATAGTTTGTAAGTCCCACTCCTTATTACTAATCCGTCTGATAGTAAGTAGCTGAGTATTTGACTATTGCATTGAACAGGTTAACTTGGAGTGAAGGAAATACAGGAAAGAAGGGTTTGAGAAACTTTAAGGACCAACATAAGTGTGGTCAAGTATGTGATTTAATGGGTTTAGTGTGTCTTCCAGACTCTAAGGACTCTGATGATGAAGTTGAGATACTATATGGTAAATCTGCCTATCAATCTCACGTTCCACCAGGGACTCAAAAGTATTAGTAGGGTCACATACTCTTTTTAATTCATTTTTAAACATACTATTGAGATAAAGAAAAGAAATCATTGTAAATATTTTAGAACAGAACCGTGTGATTGGTGATATGAGTCAATCTTCCTTTCCAGCTGCTCATCATAATCCAGCAATTGTAGGATGGTATCTTTCCCAAGCGTCATCATCCATATCCCCCCTCATATCCATGATATTATTCATTGCTTGTACAACTGCTGATGTGATTTGAGAGCAAGAAGCATAGGCCACCACATGCTGACCATCAAGACTTATAATGGTCCCACCTGATTTCTCAACAGTCCTAGCTTCATTTTTCTGCCTTGTAATTGCTGCTTTTGAAGTTGTCAAATTTTTTTGCTCTTCTAGTGAAAAAAGTGCGTGACTAGTGTAATGATTAACATCAGTGACCCAAATCAGCTCTACCAAATCTGCTGCATTGATATCTATCTTAAACTCAAAATGCCCAACCACCATGATAAATTGAGCACCAACTTCAGGATGTTCCTTCTGGACATACTTCCCAGTCTTCTGTTCTTCCAACAATTCTTCTGCCATTTGGGCTCGCAGTGCCAATCGTCTCTCTGGTGAAATGATATTGGCTATAGACATGTTGATCAGTCAATTAAACACATCTTGACAAGTAGAATACAAAGAAAACTCAACATGTGTAAGCATCAATCAAACAAAAGAACCCAGATGCAAACCCAGTGGCATCAAAGTCACAATGTGGGGCATTGCGGAAGCCGCCTGAGGTCACAATGGTACTTGACCCAACAAACACCTGCCCATTGGACGACTTTGTCCATTCCTTAGTCCCAGGAACTGGTTCTCTGGAAGCCCAAGAAGGAGCACAAGTTTTGATTTCAACTTCCCTATTACTTTCATATGCATGTAAGCAGAGAGAGGAAGTCCTTTCTGCCTGGAAGTTATGAACCCATGGTAAATCATCTTGCCGCATTTCATCATCCTTAAGTTTACCAAAGTCACCGCTAGTGCTAGAATTCTGTGCAAAAGGACCTGTAAATCAGTCACGGTAGAGTGAACCTTGAGGTTCAATTGCAAGAAGAAACATCTCTACTTACTAATTTTCTTTCCGTACTTGTGTTTGCCAACTTGTCTGGTAGACCGGAAACCAAATCCCCTCATTTTACCTTGCCTTTCTTCCTCAGGCAGAGCCATAACCGCATGATTGTCCGGGACGTTTCCTCTACTCTCCGCATGTAAATGCATGGTTCTAATAGCTTGACGGAAATCCTCCCAGAGCTGGATTGATGATGGATCAGTGCTAGAAGGATCCTACACAGTCCATCTTATTGTCAGCATATCATATCATCATAAATATTAAAGGAGAACCATCAATTCGAACAAAACCTGACAAAACCCCTCCCCCGCCTGAAAATTTGTTAGTTTTGACCAACCGATTTTCCCCACTCTCAATGACACTATTCCCTCTGACACTCACCCTTGGAGTCATATCTATAACCATTGCTTACTCTATCTGACTATTTTGCACCTCGTCAGCTATTTGTTAACCCTACTCACCCGTCATTCACTCCTTGAGTACCACGTAACTTACAAATTCATTATCTACTGGCTTGCGTTTATTATTGTGACAGATACTATGGTTATGGATTGGCGTGGAGAAAGTCTAATGTGGTCCATAAGTACAAATCCTTGACTTCTCGGAACCCATCATTTACAACTTATCCGTCCTCCTCATCTTTTGATCGGCCACGTTAAACTTACTATATTCTATGCTACGTAATGTCCGACATTGCAGCCATAATCAATCACGGGATCTATGTATCTGGCAATTTCGAAGTCAAAGATAAAGTACGGTACCCCCTTTGTTTTGCTTCCCATTCGTATTTCAATGTTCACAATCAGCCTTCATTATCTGACCTAATTTTTTGAATAGACAAATCCAGTAAATCGTTCCGAACCTGAAGGTGGAATTTACAACCTGACGATCAGTTGTGGTGGGGTTAACCGCGAGAACACCAAGCTTTATCAAATCCAAGCTTATGCCGTTGAACCAGTCCAGATTCCACTGTTTGTTAAAGGCGTATACTTCTTACGAGGTCCCTTTTTCCCTAAGAATAAAGTCAATACTACCTTTGACTCCCTCATTTTTGAAGGCGAGGATCACCCTTTCGTTGGTACTGGCTTATCTTACATGGGCAGCTTTGTTGACTCAGTCTCTGTCACGGGCACTGGAATTGTGTTCGATATTTGTAATCCAGAAAACTCTTGCTCCCGCAGTCCGGCGGACATCCTGAGCTCCACAGACAACATTACCAAAGTCGTGACTGTTTTGCATTCCCAGTATCATCCAATTGTAAGCCTCATTTAAGACCTTTATTGACAATATTCACATTTGTTGACATCGTCAACATCTAGCTGAAAACTGCCGCAGAGTCAAAAGTCGAATATTGGATCACGGCATCCACTAGCTTCTACCCTTCAACAGAAGAAGTTGTGCTTGGTTGTCAATATCAATTTCATGGGTTTATTAAAGATTTCAACGAGAAGACCCAGTGTTATATTATTGTGGTGGGTTTTTTCTACTCCCAGCCTTTTGCCCAAATCAAAGTTAAAAATACCATTACAGGCCAATCAAGTTTCTCTGACAAATGCTGCCCAAGCGAGTAGTTCGTCATACGCAAGTAACAATCTTGAGGTCACCCATACTGCGACCGTCAATTCTCGCAGCACCTTAACTCAGTAAGTTGCTACGCATTCAGTCACACTGGTCCTCATTTTGCTCATGATATATATTAATTTCCCACATGAAAATAACAACAGCTCAGACTCTGACCGCTCCATATTAACCACGAAATCCGTGTCATCATCTACATCTATTTCGTCCCCCATAGTTATTGAAAACCAAAATAAAACAACCCTAATTGCGAAAAAATCATCTCCATCAGTATCTCACAAGCAAAGCCGTTTGGACTCTGAGGAGTTGAGACCCAAAGGTCCAGAACAACTGAACGACATATAATTTGGGACGGAATTAGTCCTGACGTATTATGCCAATTGTTGATAATATGTACTCTATTCCCTCTGTTTTTGCCGTGCTTGCACTAAATGTTTTAAGAAAAGGCATCACTGGAAATTTCACAAATCCTGATGCCCGTGACTTACTCAACTCTATGCTTTAGTTTGGTGTAGATTGAAAAATATGTTAACTCATACTACGCACAGCTCAACATCTCACAATTTGTCTTCTTGGTACTCTATTTAGTTGCATTCTATTTTCTAATTTTGATTTGAGCAGTTCCGATCAACGTGAACCTTTGGTTAAAAATGAGGATCACACCTTGACTTAAGGTGATCTCTTTTGTCACAACTCTGCGAAAGGACATCATATCATTTACATTCAAATTAAATACTTCCCGTGAACGTAAAATTACGGTGGAGAATTACAATTCAACTGTACCAACGTAGCCTCCAGCTAAGTGATTTCTACAGTTGGAAAGTTAGAGTTATCAAGCCCTGCCACCCTTGTTAAAATAAAGCTACCAATTTATGATGAAGTTGAATAAACACCTTCAGAAAACTAAACTAAGTTTTAAATCCAGTCAAATAAACAGTTGCAAATGGTAAAGTAAGTACTTTGGCAAATTCAGTAGGTTCACAACCAGCAAGAATATCACAATTATCCTCAATTATATCTACACAACTAATCATCATCTGCTTAATACTATTCACACGAGACACGAGCAGAAAATTTTTTAACAGAAAGCACATATGACAACTTCCACAAGACATAAATGAAATTAACTAAACTTAGTATATCTATTACGTATTTCAACTACATCATTATGACCCCAATTTTGATTATGAACAATCTCCGTCAATCTGCCAAGTACAAGTGCTGACAAGACAAGGATTTCTTTGTCCTACCACATGTATAAGAACCATGTACCTAAACTGCTCCCAATTGTTCACACATCCACCCTGTTGTTCAACCCAAGTATGACTGACCTCAACCACCAATTATTAAACAGAATAATCTTAGCTCGATACAACCAGATTCTAGCCCACATATCCATGCATAGTCATCCTAAGATGTACATCATTGAATTTTATTAAAGCAGAGCTCCTTATGTGCATTTAGCACTGCTTAACAGTCCTACCATGAATACCAATAGTGCATCCAAGATCTATTCACTACAAAAAAAATCATCTTTTCTCATGGGATTAGAAAACTGGCAGTGACGTAGAAAACTAGCACCAGGGTTTTCTAATCCCATAAGGCTACTTTTTGGGCACATTCTTATGATGGCAATGTACAGCTCTCAAATCATGAACATGGGCGAAAGGATGCCATGAAGTGTTCGACATTGATCCCACTTCGAATCATGGAAATTGTAATCTAACATCCATCATACATAATTTCCTGTATCTATTTCCAACCTAAATAATGTAATACAGATACATCAATGAATGACCGATGCTGCCATGATCAGAGGAAGCAGTTTTATCAATTGCTAACATGAGCCACCTCATTGGCTCTGGTGTATCACTATCATTCATCAGGGTTATAACCATCGCACTCCCCATAGAAACCATCACCACCGCATGCCACTATAAGTTTTTGAAAAGCCTTTCCATGTCCCGTGATCTTGGCATCCAGGATGTGCAAATCTTTTTCAAGGTCGGAATCAACCACCTGAGCTTTCAAAGTTTCGAGCCTGTTGTAGACAACATTGATTTCTTTCTTCGCATCACCTAAAAAACTCAAAAGACGCTCCTTTTCGCTTTCTAAAGGAATGGAAAGTAATTAAGAAGTTAGCATACGAAGTGATGTGCATTCCACAAAGACAACAACTATAACCTTGGAGATCTCGTGATTCCGGACTTAAGAGCAACTTCGCAATCTCTTTCTGGATAGACTCAATTGAGCTTTTGAGCCGAGTGACGCTTTCTTTCAACACCTCGTCTACAAGTGAATTGAATTGTGAATCAAAAAGAATCATAGATAGATTGAGACAGATGAAAGATGATACTCACCTTTCCAAGTTTGATTGTCTTGTTCTTTCTTCGAGGCATTTTCAATGACATCTAATGCGTAGGGTGCAACAAACTGCGACATATCAGGGATAATTTAAAAAGCGATCTTTATAACTATATGTAAAAGGAAAAAATGAAATCACGGATGTCAGATAAGAGATAATATTGAGTGAGATCATCAGGCATAGTCTATAGATGCGTGTTCACTTACTGTAAACACGGAAAAGCAATTTGAAAATGGGTCTGTGAGCGTTGTGGGATGGTGCTTATTTTCTAAGAGAGTTGTTACAAAACATCTGACCTGTAGTGAAGATGAAGAGGAAACGAGGTACACATGTATGTGAATACCTGTGTCCATGGAGCTTACTTGCGATTAGATCAATTGGCAAGTGGGGCATATGGTGATAGAGCGTTATCATCATCATATAAATCAATATTACCAAATTCAACAACAAGCCTCTCGTAAGACTGATAACTGCAAACCTCGATCGACTTTTTACAGTGGTTCTTTTGCACATCTGGACGCCACCCAGTGAAGCCGAAATCGAACCGATGATCTCGCCATCTTATGTATTTTTCTTTTAATTCAATTGTTGAATTCTTGAACAAGTAAAGACGATTAATGTTCCAAATTGAAGGAGAATCACAGCCATAGCGGCGATAAAAGGAGATCAGCAAATGACATGAATTTCAAAGTAAAAGCGGGAAACAGACCAGTTACTTATTTTTGACGATTGAGTGAGTCACTTATCAGAAGGTTGTACAAGGTCTGAGTCCAAGTGTGTAATCAATTTAAACTCGAGTTCATTCCACAAGAAGATAATGTATGAGATCAACAAGAATAGAACAAACAAAATCGTATGATATAGACTATAAACCCGATTGCCTTTGGAGATACGTTTTGCTAATGGAAGGATTCATCTCAAATTATCATGCTTCTTCGATCTCAAATTGTTCACGTATGTCGGTAAGGAATAGATAAGGCAGTAATGGATAGAGAACATAAAAGTACAGTTAGGTAAAAACAAATGAAATCAACATCATTCAAAAGTGCATCAGGTCGAGTGGAAACAAGATATAGAAACTTGCAGCCATGCAAGTCGTGCAAGTTTTGAGGAGATCTTCAATACAAGTATCACTTTCCTTTTGAGATAAAAATCATTTGATCAGGATACTTATAGAGCCAAAAACGATACAAGAATTGATCTTACAAGTTTTACACTTACACATGCTAAGTGGAGTCCTCCTTTAACATGTCCTTGTTGATCCAGTAGTGATAACCTGGAACCAGTTCTTCTTCCTCTGAATTCGGGGCTTCTTCTAATATGAATTTTTGGTATAGGCTGATGTAATTTGGTAGTCGTAGTACTGGTATATTCAAAAACACTTCAGGGTTGTAGGATTGAAGGGTATGTCAAATTACTTGGATGCTAAGTTTCGGGACAAATTTTGAACGAACAGTGCGTGGTCGCTTTGTAAATTGGGAATCAGGGAGTGGAAGATCCGGATTTACGTAATGCTTATAGAGAGCCAATACTTCATCCTTGAGCGCGACTGAAGAGACCTTGGCCCAACGATTAATTTTCATAATGGTATATACAAGCATGGCGATCGTAGTCCTACGGTTAAGTGGATCATAGTCCTCATTTGATCCATCATCAGTCTCCATTGAGTCTTCGGGTGGTGGTGGTGGTGGTAAACAAAAAGGAAGCAACTTGGGGAGTAAATTTCTTTTGAACTTGTCCTTCAAAATATCCTTATTTTGAGTGGGGCGAGCACTAGTTTCGTGATCAAAATGATACATTATGGCGTAATACTTGAGCTTTGTAAGCTTGTATGTGCTGTTTGTCTCCCAGTCGTGGTTCAAGAATAATGCTAAGTCCGAGGTGAGTGATTTGACTTTACTGTATAATGGATGGCCAGTGAGGTCAACAGCATCGGAGCTCGCATTTGGATTGGTGGGATCCGGATTTGCTGATGGTGCAGATGGACGACGATGCGGAAATGATCCTTTTGGTGGGGTGATCTTGCCTTGAGCTGATATCGGGTTCATCTTGACCTTGCTTTCATTGATTGCTGATCCACTAAGCTTGAGTTTAGATCTTGTAGCCGAGGCTTGAGGCTTGCTCCCGCTTGACATTTTAGACCGAAGGAAAATCTTGATTATTCTGCTAGAAACGAGGGTTAAAGAGGAGGAAGTGTTCTTGAAAATCAAAAGGAAACGGTCAGTGTTGGTACAAGACAATAGTGCAAAGCAATGATCTGAAACTGGAGATAAATATAGAGGCTTACCGATGTATACTTTATCAGGAACTTGGATGCCAAAGATATAAGTGCGATAGAAGTAGTAGTAGGACACTATCCGCTCGCAGAATAATGGAATAGATATAGGTGCGATAGAAGTAGTAGTAGGACACTATCCGCTTGCAGAATAATGGAACAGATATAAGCGCGATAGAAGTAGTAGTGGGAAGCTATCTGCTGGCAAAACAATGAAATAGAGTGTTATACGGAGATATCGATGACAAGGTTTAAAACCTGATGATGAAGCGAGAGGAGTGAAGATTATGTCTTGAGGTGGATTTTCAGGAATCTTCAAGCAAGATATTTTATAAGAATCAAGGGTGTAGCATGTGGGTATATCAACAAAGGAGAATCTGGCGGAAAATTCTGTCGCGGGGATCACATTTGGATTATTTGGATTCATTGAAAGGGTGCAGATCGGAACCCTACTACAGTATAGTTATGAATGTTATCACACTCGAATTTGATGCTTTGGCATATTTGGTTGACCTCAACTTGTCTTTGTTATTCAAATACCACGACACAACCTAAAAGGAGATAACTGGGAAAGTAAGATTACAAAGGACAAGATGAATTCGAGAGTGTCTACACCCTCAAAGATAGGTCCAGCAGTGAATGAGTTCATCAGGATCTTATTGAGTTGCACAACAAGCTGACATTGGTCACGACAGGTATTGAAATGTGAAATCACACTAATGACTGATACTATGGTCACTTCTGATATTTCTAAAGGATTTGTGTCATCTTTCAATAGTCCCTGCTTCTCAGGATTTATGCAAGTACCTTCCGGATTAACTGCCGTGATTGACAGGTTTTATTTTGTGAAGACTTTCCAATCTCTTCTAGATTGTTTCATGATATGTTCTTAAATCATCTCATTCCATGTAATGTTTCTTGCCACTTACCTATCTCACTGTCAAATCAATTTTCTGACTGCTGCACTTAAATATCTATGAGGCTTAGTGTGATCTATCGGCCACCTGAACTTTCCCTCATGGATGTTGAGACATGTGAGGATCTAAGAGATGTGCTGGAGGAAATCTTGCGTCAATTAGTTGGAAAAGTAATCGAAACAAAATTTTGACATCAGTTTGAAGACCAATTCAAGTCTAGCAAATTCCTACCTTGAAACAGCATGCTTTCGTCAGGATAGCTTTCCATAACTTTTTCATTGATAAGAACCTTCTTCTCAAGGTCCCAGGATCAGATTCAAGTCCTTTACCTTCTTTGTTCGACTCGTCTATTTATTTTGAGAAGTCTACAGATCAACTTTTTACTCGATGAGCACTCGCCAGAAGAAAAGTGGGCAGACCCACAGGAAAATTTGCTGTTGCGAAGCCTTTCAATGCAACGCCGGCGTCTATCCTGACGCTCACGGTAACAGTCACACTGGGGTTGAACTTACTCGTGAAGCTTACGATGCTCATCAGCGTGCTGAAATTCGTAATCGTGCACGCGCTTCCTTGTCGCCATCTGCTTCGTCAACACCACAATCGATTAGAAGTGTTTCAAGAGGTCAATCCGATTTGATTTCTCCTTTGAGCCGTATGGTTCTGAATCGGTCAGAATCAGAAAACTCGCCGTCAGGTCATTCTCGATCTCATGCCTTGGTACCGGAACGGGATGAAGATGTATCAAGTATTTCGCGCCAGTCAGAGGATCAAGGTATAGAGCAAAGTAATGTGGAACAGGATGTCCCGGCCATCGCAACATCCTTGAACATATCGGAAACTAGATCCTCTCGAAAATGTATGGCTGCTCGTTCAGCAAGGAATGCTGGCGTCAAGACTTATGATTCTAGTAGGTTTTCCTATATATATTTTTCCTGTATGAGCGGTTCGTGTACTTATGGTGATCACATCTTCTTAAACTTGTGAATAAATAGGTGAATTCTTTGACTCCAACCTAGAAAACGCCAGACCTTTGTGCCTTCACGCCGCACTCACATCAGCCATAATGAACATCTATGACCACTCATCCCACAAGACGGCCGCCTGGCTACTTGGTGCGCAGCGGAGCACCATCGCACTGTCTTTGACAACTGGTCTGATGCCCAGCCTTGCAGAGAGCCCTCCTTCTCTTCTTCCCGGACAAACCGCTGCTTTGAATCAGATACCACGTACAATTGGTTCAGTAATCAGCTGGCTTCGAATAGATCCAGAGCTCATCTTCATGAACTGTTGCAAAGCCTGCTTTGCTTTATACCCAATCGGTAATACACCAACAATTTGCAGTCATCGTATATCTAGAATTCCTGGAGGGCCTCTTGAGAATGACGCAGAACTTCCGCCTGACACCCCTCTAGACGTGGATTTCAATCAAGACTTCACAGAACTTATTTGCGGAGAGCCTCTGATCCGAGTCTCTAGAAACAAGCAGGCACCTGTGCGCCAATATGCATTTCAAGACCTATCGACTTGGATTGCCCGTTTACTCTCTCGACCAAAGATCGAGGAGTGGCTTGATGAATCTCTTGTAGAGTCATCTAAGCCATTCAAACCGGATGACGTGATTAGTGATATCCATCAATCAAAACTATGGAAAGGATTTCGCGGGCCAGATGGAAAACCCTTTTGCAAAACAAGCGGAAATTTAGTTTTTGGAATGTTTGTTGATGGAATCAATCCATTCGGTAACAAACAGAGTGGACACCATGTGTCCATAACTTTCATTGTGCTTGTGTGCCTGACCCTTCCTTTTGAAATAAGGTATCGCCCTGAAAACCTCTTTCTTGCTGGAATAGTCCCTGGACCACGTGAACCGTCGCTCAAACAAATGAACTGGGTGCTCCGCCCGATTGTTGCACAGCTGAAAGAACTCTGGAATCCTGGACTTCTCCTTTCTCGGACTCATCTTTACAAGCGGGGACGTCTCATTAGAGCTGCACTTCTCCCTTTCATAGCCGACATACCTGCTCTGAGGCGCTCTCTTGGTTTCCCAAGCGCTACTGCCACATTCTTTTGCTCCTACTGCCTTTTAAAAAAGTCTGACATCAACAACTTTGACCAAGACTCGTGGCCGGTACGCACGTGTCGCCAGCACAGAGAATGGGCACAACAAGCTCGAGATGCTACAACAACCGCAGAACGTAAAAATATCTTCAAAACACATGGTGTTCGATACTCAGTGCTGAATGAATTGGAATACTGGGATATCATCGAAAACCATGTCGTAGATTCAATGCATAATTTGCTACTTGGGCTGCTCATGTCACACTGCCGACGCTTCTGGGCGATGAAAGAAATTACTGGTGATGAAGATACGACTCCTGGAATAAGTACAAAAGAGCTCTTAGACTTGGTAGCAGAACACTCTCAACTACCCCCAAAGAAGCACACTGAAACTCCAACATCCCCACAAAGCGATGAAAATTCTCACGAAGAGTTTGTGGAAGCCAACTTTGAAGATAATACGGACTCGAGCGATACTGATTTCAATCCATTGAGTGACAGTGGATGGAATGGAGAATGGGTTCCACCACCCTTTGATGAGATTGTCTTGGATTCGGTCATGTTGCAAAAGATCAATTCATTGCTACCTAAGATTCACATCCCTTCCTGGGTCAAGCGAGCGATCCCTGTCCTTGGGAAAGCTTCTTTCGGGAAACTTAAAGCCGATGAATGGAGAAATCTCTTCTCCATTCAATTACCATTGATACTGATTCCGATATGGTCTGACCAAGATTACGTGAAGACTTCTCTCTTGAAAAACTTTGGTCATTTAGTATCTCTAGTGAATCTAGCTCTCAAGCGGGCAATCTCTCCTCAAGATATTCAAAATTACCGACATCATATTCGAGAGTACCTAGAAGGATCTTTGATACTCTTTCAACATTGCAAATTGACGCCAAATCACCATATGGCCATTCATTTAGCCGATTGTCTTGAGAAGTATGGTTCCGTACGCGCCTGGTGGTCTTTTCCATATGAGCGTCTTATGGGAAGTATACTGAAGGCCTGTCATAATAACCATATAGGTAAGAGTTATGAGCAAAATTCGCACTCGAAAAGGAGTTCTTTGGCTGACCATGTAGTGTATATTTGTTGTTTGACTTAGGGGAACTCGAGATCACGTTTGTCAAAAATTTCTGTCGTGCTGGGAATCTATCAGCCCTCCTTCAAGACATTGACGAATTCCCAGAAGCCTTAAAGCCATATGTCGATCAATTGAAAGGACTGTATGAGCCTGCATCCCCAAAGCCAAGACGGATGTCCAATTCAAAGCTCGACTCCCTAGGAGAAGACGATTTGTTGCAGTTGATCGAGAGGTTAAACCGTCATGGAGATGACGATTGTGTCTGGGTCACCCCGAAAGAATGGGCAGCATTTGAAAAAGATGAAGAACTTGGATATGCACCATTACCACCTCGCGCACAGTTTTACAACAGATACGAGCATAAAGGTGTCAGTTTCTCAATCTTTGAAAAAAGCTTGAATGACAGCTTTGTGGTATTCAGGTCACGTTCAGATGAGTTTGACTCATTTGGTAGAATTGAGAAGATATTCGTGCACCGTCGGGCAGCAGTAACAGGTATGAATATTGTACAAACTTGGTTGCGTGTTCATTGTTTCAAGCCCATTCAAGAGTCTCGATATGATGTGTTCAAACGCATAAATATGCCGGACATGAATGCTCATTTACGAGCCTGGGATTCTCCGGAAGTGCGTTTAGTGGCGCTGGAAGAGGTCATAGCACATTGCTCATGGCTGATGTACAAGCCTAAGCAGCTACATCTGGATTTGAACATCTCCGCTGTAGCTCTGGTTTCAATGGTGAGATGATAAGCTAATTCTGATCCGCTTATTAAATTCGCAGCTGGAGATACCAGAAGGCTCTCATTAAATTTAACTCATAGTTCTAAATTGTACATACAGAAGACAAATTATTAAAATCGTTTCAGTAGCGTAATGAAGTTGTTTAAGAGCGGTTCAGGTGTGATTTCTAGCTGACTAATCTCCAAAAGAGACAGTGACTGGAGCCATTGAGATGAGTAGCAATCAATTGCGAGCCCAACTGGTGGACCCACTCGACTTGTGGGTCTTTCAGTGCATCGAATCCTAGACCGAGTAGGACGACCGCCCTGGTTTGGTGTTGATTTCTTCGAGCGGGGGGACCCAGATTTGTCCTTTGCCTTCGCAGCATCGATCAACTTGCAGATTTCTTCAAGCTGGTCGCTGCGCCATTCAAGCTTTCGAATGCAACAAGGAACGACACGCTGCTTACATCCCTCACCAGGGGAATCTAGTTCATTATCGGTCTCGTCATCACTGCACGCAGCTGAGACAATTGCTGAAAGTGGCCAAAGTTGCTCGTTCGAAAGTATCAGGTCTTCGCGTGTTTGTCGCAACTGAAATCACAATGAAATTTGAGCTCAATGTCTGAGATTTACAGGGAAGATATGTGACGTACATATCTGAGCCTTGCGCCTCTTCGTGCCTCATTGGTCGTGTTTTTCCTACGAGCTTCCTCCCAGTTTTGGTTCTGGTAGCTGCATAATACAAAATCCGCAATTGAAGAAGACAATTAGGATATAGTAATATACTTATAAAAGCTGCTTGCGAAGTGAATGGCATAGACCATGCGTACCGTTTAATTAGTGAGCGGATATGAGTAAACAAGCACTTCTTGATGAATGCGTGTCCGTCATCTTGAAGTGGCACACCAGTATACTCGCCACACTCAACAAGTTTGATGAATATCTTCAACGCAAGATCCCAAAGCCACTTGTTATCCTTTGAATTTGGTGGTTCGGCGAAGTCTGGTCGAAAGGATGTGAGTCCTACTGATTGCATCATATTCCACATGATTGCTAGCTGCTGGGGTGTGGCGTCTTTGTGGCCAGGACCATTCAGATAAGGGAAGCATGGGTCATGAGGGGTGTTTGGTTGAGGAGGTGGTGGATGATTGCCGCCTTCTGTGCTGGGATCGGTGTCACGCATTGTTTTTCCAGCTCGGTTGCTGGAGAGGGAATCTCGGCCTGCCCGAACAATGTCTCGACATGGAAGCGGATCCGAGCCTAAGCCAATCTTGTTATAAGTTCGTCTATCAACATGTGGGAGTAAGAAGAGACCCGCTTACCGCTGTTTGACCACCACGCGTCTTTTTAGCCTCGACTTTTTCCGCAGGTTGCTTCTCCATCCTTTTACGTACAATATCAGACAAGACCTTCATATCTTTGAGTACTGTTTCCGTTCTTTTATCGGTCCTGGCGAGGTGAGCTTGAATTTGATCTGTCCAGATTTTGTAATACAAAAATTCAGGCCTACCAAAATGACATTAATCGGGCAAGGAATCACTCACAGATTTTCTCGATGATCCAGGATTTACTCCCCTTTTTGTGACGCTATTTGGCTCCTTCTGAAGTCATTGGCGGCTTTTCAGAGGCCAAATGGCTTGGTGATGAAGGCGGTGGAGTCGATAGAATTGCACGGGTTTTTTCTGTAAGCTCTGCACTTTCACCCTGTTTTCGTAGGGGTTTTCTAGCTATGCGATTGACTTTTGGTGCCATTGCCGTTGCCTGACTATTTCTGCTAGCTTCACTGCCTTCTGAATCGTCGTTTGAGTCACAAGGGTCATTGATCAATGGATCCCATTCATCGTCACATTCTGAGACCGCCTTAGCTTTTCCCTTGTTGTTTCGGGATCTCGAGGAGTTCAGTATAGTTGGGTTAGGCCGAGGATGTTCTAATCGATTATGTTCAAGGCTAGGGAGCAATGAAGAGTCATTAGCAGCCAAACTAGCCACTGGGAGAATTTTTGAAGAACGTGTGTGTTTCTTTTTGTGTCCTTCCACTTCTTTGGTAAGCCGACCGCGTTTTGATTTCAAGCCTACGGTATGGATATCAACCCTTGTTAGAATAGGAGGAATTGCAGTAACAGTTGACAAAAACAAAATGAATTACACACCTGGTTCTGATTGATTGGTAACTGTGGCTATTGGCTCTGTCGCACTACCTACTGACATGATCGGTTCTTGGTTATCTTCATGTCCTTTCACTTTTTTCGCACGCCGACCACGCTTTGATTTCAAGCCTACGGTATGGATATCAACACTTGCTGGAATAGAAGGAAACACAGTAAGAGTTTAAATAAAGAATTACACACCTGGTTCGGATTGATTGGCACCTGTGGCGATTGGCTCTGTTGGACCAGCCACTGGCATGATAGATTCTGATGGAACAGCTACTGGGACAATTGGGTCAGACTTGTTAGAATACAGTCAAACAAAGTAAGAGTTGAACTTGACATAATGAATCACTCACCCGGTTCTGATCGATCGGCAACTCTGGCTACTGGCATTGACGGACCAGCTACTGGCATGATTGGTTCTGAATCTGATGGACCAGCTACTGGGACCATTGGATCGCATTTTCGGAATACAGAAGGTTTGTCAAGTCTTGATAGACATATGTAATAGAATGCTATACGCACGTTTGACAGGAAATACCGTTTTTGATAGCCCTTGGACATTCATTGGTTGTGAGCCTAAATACATACGAGTACGAGTATCATGAAATTTTCAACCGGAGTGTCTACGAGACCTGGTAGATACTCAATCAAACTCACGATTGTCCATTCCACGCTTTTTAACCACTTCATTGAGCATAAAAAACTTTTTTAAATTGTCTGGGATGACAACTGAGTGAAGAGAAAATGTCAGAAATAAAATTTCACCTTGATCCAGGTAGAAAAAGACGTCGGTATCTCACTGAGTTCTTTGTATACCTCACAGGTGCTGATAAGCTTGTCTCGATCCCAACCATCGGCGTCTATACCTACACCCCTGATCATATTCACGAGGTTGTAGTTTCCAAATTGAGAAAATGGTTGATCTTGATCTATATCATTTGAATCCGGATCTTTTGAATTTTCGACAGGTTCTTGAAAATGGCATTCCTCGGAAGGGTCACAATCCAGTGCGTCTCGTCTTTGGGGTTTACCGCGAGAAAATTTTGGGGTGATATCAGACACGATTCCGGTAGACATTCGAGGCCTTTTTCTGGTTACATGTCGAGAAAGCTTTGAGAGCAATCGATCGCGTTGAGTTCGGCCACCAACATGAACACCCACGTTTTCCAAGGCTTCGTGGATTGGATCGGCACTCTCACTGGTTGGTACTTCTCCAGAAAAAAATAGCAATCATTGTGAGTCTATCATCAAGAAAAATTGTGATTATGAACTTACACGAATTTGTTGCTGCCTCCTCGCTGATCAGTGGTCTTTTCTTCGATGCGCCATGGCTCCTTAGCTTACGATGACCTGGTTGGGGTAGGGGTATTGTTTCGCGTGGCATAATTAAGATTGTGTCTATAGAGTAGGCTGGAGTGTTGAGATCTCGTGAAGGGGATATCAATTCTAATGCTTCAAACGATGATAGGAATTAGTTGTGTTGTAGATGTGTGAATGATTGAAAAGAGTGCCCAAAAGGAATAGTAGTACGATAGAGTGGAATATAATAATGTATCACAGATACCGTATATGAGTGAGAGAACAAAAAGAGTCTAAGAGGAATATCACACTGTATCACAGATACAACGTATATGTATATGGGAGGAATCAATAACACATGAAAGTCCAGATCCCGGAGGATGATGATGATGATGAAGGATTCAATATAAGGCTTTTGGAAGTGCTAAATGCAAAAGATTTCGTATTCAGGTTGTTTGGTCAGAAATGGTGCCTAGGATACGGAAGTTGAATCATAATGTATGTTTCTGGGTGCTGACAGACTTGTACATATTAATAACTTGTCTTGGTGACACAATGATCATTACAAAAGCAACATGTTCGACAACAATTTCCCTTTGTCACATTTAATCGCGAGGTCCGTTTTTGAAGTTCCACCTCTTTGTTCTTTCATCATTTTCTGAACCTTACCGTGGACAAAGCTTCCGAGTTGCGAGGTCCTTCAAAATTGGATGAATTTTGTCGGTATGTTTTCATGATGCACATAGCATTCAGATATCGTAATTCCAGCACCGTCTTGGCCCTTTGAATGTAAAGAAAAGAATGATAAAAAGGGGTTGATTGTCAACCTAGAGGTAAGTACCCGTACCCTTAGGAAGACAAAAACCATACAAACCTTTAAAATTAAATACACATAAATATATACATATAACAGTTCAAGATTTGTAACAAATCCCGAAGTGATCACATCTCAAAGCTCGAGTTTCAAGAGCCAAGAAAATTAAAACCCCTGACCATGACGACTATCATGGCCAGGACTAAAAATTAATTACCATCTAAATCGATGACCGAATTAGACCCTAGTCAGGACCATGCCAACACCAAACACCCTGACTAGGGGATTATCTCAACGCCATGAAAACCAAGACCAGTCAGGGTTTGAATCGACGCATTCAAACCCTGACCAGGCACTAGATCTTGAACGCACCAGAGATGCGAAATCGCATCCTAACGAGAGTCGAACTATTTAGTATAAATACTAGTCTTTATCTCACTATATGGAATCGAAACCCCATCCTATAACACATCCAACATCCTTACCTTTTAGAAACATAATAACACCTGACCTTTAACTCGTAGGCTCGAATTTATCTCAATAAAGACAAACCCTTTATTGTAACAAAGCCGCCAACCTAACCTCTCGTACTACCTTAGTATGTGTTTTATTCAACTCAAGTCTGATCTTTAGAGACTCGAGCTGACATTGATCATCTGAATATGAATCAATGTGACATTTCATGCAAATCATCATAGCATACAGTACCAAGTCACGAAACGTCACCCTCTAGAAAACGTCATATCGCTTCCCAGTGTTTGAAAATGAGAAGCTGGAAATAGAGCGACGAAAATATGCAATCAGAAATCAAAGCCCGGCCGTTTTGAGACTCTCAATCTACTCAAACCGCACTTTTTGGCATGTATACATATAATGAGGTCCATGATGACCATCAGATCTTTTCTAAAAACATATTGAGATGGTCATTGAAGTGGCACTTGACCCATGGTTTTGAAGAAAGATATAGTAAAAAGGATGAGAACATAATTGATTTGATTTCCATAAAGAAAGATAATAAAAATATAAATCAAACAGTTTGGCGGTGAAGGTTCTAGAATAGACCATGTAAAATAACCAACAATCATATATATTTAATAAGACCAATCATCACCCACCCAAACAACCCACGATGAACATGATCAGATATGAGATTGAAGTAGATTTAAACACGTTTACTGGGATGATGACGAGGACGATTCATCCCCCTCCTGTCTCTCCTCCATCTCCATCAATTTCGTGATTATCTGCTCCTGTGTTTTGAGTTCATTGAGAGTGTCATTTACCTGCTTTCGCAACTTAGCAACTTCCGCTTTCAAGGTAGTAACCTGATCTTTGAAGTTGTCGAAGGATCCAAGTTTGCGCTTGAGATCGTTGACTGATTCTTGAAGAGCAAGCATTGAATTATCTGTAGTTCAACACATCAGCTCCAACCATATCATATTGTACAACAAATGGATGTGGAATACCTTGTCTTTCTTGCGCATCTTCTATAGCCAAGATATTAAACCTCTCTCTGTTAGCCATCTCAACTTGGGACTTCATGTCATCTATAGCATCCTCAAGAGATGAAACTTTACAAAATTTTACATATGAGTTTGGGATAAGAATGATGTATAACCGAGAGAAAACTGATTGACTTACTTTTTCCTTCGCGTTGTCTTTCCATAAGAAAAACATCAACACCAGAAACAGTTGGCGCCGTGTGCGTAATTGCAGGTATGTCTCGTCCAAACGCTATGAGCAGATGTTCCATATTTATATCAACATGTCGGTATTGGAAACAGAATTGGATGGAAGCAACTTACAGGTGTTATCCGTCTCAAACAAATCAAGGTCAGAAAACTCCATCAGGTCATGAGGTTGAGTTATGTTCCTTGCTTGGGAAACAAACACTTCATCTGCGCTCAAGTTGATAAGAGATTGACTGGCGGAAGAGGGGCTCAGAGACATTGAATTATGCTGATGGGATATAAGGGTTGCATCGATGTAGGATTGGCCAGGTTTTGGGGTAGAGGACACTGTGCTTCTGAGTTTGGTGACGCGTGACTTTTCCAGAGGGTCTGATTTCGGTTTTTGGTGATCAGCTTCACCAACGTCTGAAGTTGTTGCCCATTCCGCAGATGCATCGTTCAATTGACAAGGTACAGCTGGGGTGAAAGCGACTTTCTTCTTGCTCCTAGGAGGCTTGTCAATACTGTTTTTGTCGGATTGAGGGGCTGTATAGGCAGGTAGTACACCATGTCAGATGATTCACAAGACTTAGATATTCAATATATTGTCACTCTACCTGGCGGAATTCTCCTAAATTTTGATTGGCGGTCGGCTTCAGACGAGGCCACTCGCTTGCCCAAGTGTGCTTTCCCTCCTAGATCGATCTCAGGTCTTCTTTCGGGAGTGCATTCTGGACCCGTTGAAAGCTGGTGAAGGGTGTCGGTACGAACAATGAGATCTTGACCAGGTTGATCGTGTTTGATTAATCGCATTCCCGCTTTGCTAGTTTTGAGTTCGCTGGGCTGTTGGACTTTAGGTTTGATAGGCGGTGGGATTTTGGGTTTGTGATCACTTAGATTATGTGAGGAGGAGGAGGATTCATTGGGGAATACTTCAAAGCAGGCAGAAGCATGTTCATGAATTAAAAGCTTGAAATAGATTAAAAGCTTGAAATCATATTATACTAACAATCAGGTTGCTTTTCTCGTACAATCTTGGCTATCTCGGCTTTGTTCAATCCACGGCGGATCGTCTCCATTGGATAATTGAAACGTAACCAATCAAGCATTGTTTGTTTACCAACACCCGGTGCATCCGGATCAAGCGGATTCATGACTGAGTGAAAATTGGATGTAATGGGATGATTGCTAACGAGACTCTTGAGGTATGCGTATTAGGAATTGTCAGTCTAACATCTAAGACAGGACAGAAGATGGTAAATATTGTAGGTCAATCTTGAACCTAAGACACACCTGAAAAACGCGAGCAAGAAAAAGAATTGACGAATGGAATAAAGATAGTGGTAGGAAACGGATATATATGATTAGCTATTTGCTTTCATGACCAGGAATCATATACAACTTTATGAATACTGAAACATTACGTCGGTATGATCTATATACAATATAGTCTCTGAATTAATTAGAATGTCTGTGTTCTGATTATCAGAATCGTCAGCCGATTGATCAGTTTCCCTGGAATTCCACCGCTTTAAAATCTGTTGAGCACTAGGCGGACTATCTCTTTCTAGAAACTGGATGACCTATATCTATGAGCAACAAATGTGCTGGAATCGAATCTTTGACTCTCGCAAATTAGGAAGAATCTCGAAAAGCCCACGAATCTTTAAGCATGGAAGTCTCTTCTTGCCCTCAGATTAAATTGTGTATACATATTTGATTCAACTGCTGTGTGATTAACCTTGTTTACTTATATCTATCATGAAACTTATTTCGGTGGTCAAACCATGAGCCTTCTTGAATCTTGATTGCTGTGCGGTCTTAATGTGACAGTTCAATCATGAGTCAGGGTTTTCTGACTTTGGCTTAGAAAACCCCAGAATGAAACAAGGCTTTCTTGAAAGTCAAGCGTAAAAGAAGTCTTCTTGAGATTAATGAATGTACTCTCAAGTTTACACCGGGGGATATAACATGCAAGTGATACGTACATGAGTGGGGCGATGTTGATAAATCAAAAGATGAATCACCGGTGGGGACGTCATTGGCAAATCTGGAAAGGGTCAGAAGTCCGCTACAGATTGTCATCGATGGAATTGAATGCCCTTTGAGATATGAAAACATGATCACATTGTTTTGTGTAATCATATGTTTGCTATAGATCGAGATATAATTAGGTGCCTGATCATAATTTGGAATTTGACACTCAAAAACTCTCGGGCCCAACTTTCCTCAAGAAATCAATCCTATCTCCAGTTTCACTGTTCACCTACCTTTATTTGAGTTAGTCCGTGTTTTCCTTCGATCTCTACTTGTTACTTTTGCTTTTCTGAGTACAGTCATTTCAGGAACCCGGTCGCGATGTTCCCAACGTTCATGATCTATGGGCAATCGCGTCGCTGCTTCACGCCTGAGCTGCGAGCAATTGCCTTCCAGGCTCGACAGCCGACTTCAGAACTGGCACGACAAACTTCACCGAAACGCACCTGGGACTTCGAACACTTTGTCAAAGTCCACCTCGACCAATGGTCCTTCCATGCGATCCCTTCTGGCATCCAACGTCATTTAGAAAGATATGGCTTTCTGACTGCCCAAGAACTTGATGCGATATCCGATACTATCTATACCTTAGTGGATCAGCTTCAAGATACTTTTTCTACCCTCTGCAAAGCCCAACGTGCAGTGAAATATATTGAGATGACATTGGATTTGTCTGACCCCGAAGTTTCCGTCCACCATGCTCTACTCGTGGCACAACTGAAGGTCTCGAAAACGGAATATAAGGAGTATATGCGCACATTCAAGCGTTACAATAAGGGCATTGCCAAACTTGGAGCAATACTTTCTCGGGAGAAGTGAGTAGATAGTTGATTAAATTAAACCCTATGATGAATGTTCCAACTGAACTGATATCCTATATTGTTATTTTTATAATTTGTTGATCATTTAATCGCTTATAATTGAATCTAGCAAGAGCACCTGTGATTTTGAGGATGCTGAAGCTGGATCGGTTGTTGAACCCACCTCACCAGTTGTCGAACCCAATGCACCGCTAGCCTAGTTATCCAATCATTTTAAAACCTATCCTATTTTGGCTTTATTTATCATGAGTCGCCAAACTTATCTACACTATTTGAGTTTTCATTTGAAACATTTTTGCTTGCTCCTCAATGGTGGTAAATCATGCCTTAGTTTTTTTTGTGTATCTGTTGAGTTGATTGCAATACAATACTGCTGTGTAATCAATCACTACAGTTGCTATTGACCCAAGAGATTTGAGACCCATGATCAACACGTACTCTACACTGTGAAATGTGTAGCTTGTGGTAGCTTAGGTCACTTGTATAAGAGTATTATATCGTGGAATCAAGACTAGAGATACAAGGAGAGAATAAAGACTTAAGGGCAGGTTTTCTAATTATCTGGGGTTTTCAAAAATCAGCCTTATGGGATTAGAAAACCGTGGTGCTAGTTTTCTACGTCACTGCCAGTTTTCTAATCCCATGAGAAAAGATGATTTTTTTTGTAGTGATTACTCCTTACCTGGATTTTCCATTGAACACCCAATTCTAATCCCTTCGCCCAGCCCTGCGTGTATTCATCAGTGAGTCCACCATAATTGAAATACTGAAATTTAATCTCCTGAACTGATTCATACGTACAACTGATATCTTGGACATCTGCAGCATGATATCAAGAAATACTCTGCTTAGAAATGCAGTCGGCACAGCTGTGTTCGGGACTTCAAGTAATTTATTGGAGCCCGGTATGCCAGTGTCTTGTGAGTTATTGTTACATAGTATAAATAGAACCTATTCACAGAAGTTAATTGGGGACGTTACCTTTTCAAAAGACCAGCGATCCCGAGCAACTGACTCTAGTTTCATTGATACACAATTACAATCACCTTTTGATAATCTGACGATAGTGGTTTTAATGCCAAGGCTAGGTAGATACAACTACAGCTTGAAACACAACATGTTTTGGTTTACCTTGCAAATCATGCAATACTTCAAAGTTGCATTGTGTATATCATTTGAGCGTCAAAATCGTCGCCTGACTCACATGCATATTGTAATCATCAGTATTGTCTAACTCTTATTTATCATTTTGATGACGTATGATCCAATGCAATATTATCTTGTTAAATCATTTTCATTGTGTCAACTATTGAAAGTTTAAATGATCAAACATCAAGATTAACTATATTTTTTTCAACTTTTTTAATCAATTGATAATATTTAATCCTAATTTGATGATTGACGTATTCCATCCAGTTTATGCAACCTGTTAGGACATTTGAATCGTTAGTACCTTGATTTCGTTGTTATTCTACAATGATAGTATTACTGTAACTTTTGTACTCCAGCAGCATTTTGCTGCATGCCGATGTCTGATAACAAAAAATGTGTATGATGATGCCGTCGCCGTTAACATAGTCATACTTTGAAATAGGAGAACATTGATTGTTGACTGTATAGCATTCATGATGTATTAATCAGTTATACGCGCGTTAAAAATGAAGGTTCAAGTTGCAAATATCTTCTAACATCTCATCATGTGTAATATGGATTTCAATCTAACAACTAATGCTGCCGGGAAACATCGTTGTAACATGTTTACATACTTCATTATGCTGTGGAATTTAACCTGAAACACAAAACAATGAAGTGCATAATTTGAGAAGTAACGAAGCATCAGACTACAACATATCAATGATTATTGAATCACGGGTTAGAGGTTAGGATTGGGGGTTAAGAGTTGAAATTAGGGGTTAGCATTAGGGCTTAGGATTAGGATTATGGGTTAGGCTCAGGGCGGATATATTCATTTGACCCCATGAAGCAATGCTTCGCATCCTCAGCTACGGCTTGTCGGGTCTCCGGCGACAAGCGAATGAAATTCAACAGGCAAATTATGATGCATCATCTTTACCCTCACTATTGGAAGTTTCCCCCGCGAGCCAACAATCCAAATCAAGTAGTGTAGTATTCTGTTTATTAAAGGTAGATGGTCATTACTTTCCGTATCCAACTATCATCCAAACAGCTTTGTGTGGATAACTTTTATTTCTCATATATCATCAAATGTCTCACCAATAACGATGCCGCCAGCAAATCAACCATTGTCTCTCCGTAAATATCAATGAGATTATCAATTACCGACTTCGGCAAATCTACCCAAATCATTGTGGAGGTATTTGCTTGAACCAAATTTTCAAATTGACGACTGGGAACTCCTGAGACTCCACTACTTCTGAAACATTAGCAATTTACCAAATATTGATAACTAAACAATCTTTAATGAACTAACCAAACAGCTTAACTGAATCGGTAATGAAAGAATTGTAACTTCAATATTTAGAATTTTTGATATCAGTCTAGCAATAATGTCCAATCTTGAACAAAGCCAATAGAGAATCAGAAAGGTAATCAATTGAATATACAACTTTTTTGCATGATCAAATGCTGACCTTACAACAATTAGGTCATTGAAGAATATCAAACATCAATTCCATCTACACGGTAAATTCAACCGAGCTTCACATTGAAACAAATTTACGTGCATCAATAGCAGTTGCACCACAAAACAAGACCCAGAACAGTACCCCATTTAGTGACACTTTGCATCAATTTTACCAATAACTGACCATACGCCATTGAATAAATTAAGTAGTATATGGATACAATCATCCGAGGTATTCTTGCGCAGGCTAATCTGTTTTATTTCCTTCTATTGATTATAAAATCCGGGTGGATGCAGACCAATTGTAATTTGCATATCTGACTGACCATCCAAGCATTATTTTGTTATAACCACATTAGCTTCTGGTAACAATACCATTGGCAACTCAAGCAATACACCAACCAATTTCAGTAATCCTTGACAGATGCACAAATGCACCGAATTACCCATGACACAATTGAGAATACACACAGCTTCAGCTGTTATTGAAGAGTGGCTCATCCGAACTGATTGAATTTGGCCTGGGAGCTATATATAACAGATGCAACAAATGAATAACTCCACCTTTCGCATTGTAATTTCTCTACAAAATTCATCTACATCAGTTTAGATTTAGATTTAGATTTAGATCAGATTAGACTTGATATAACTGTTACATTCGCAGCCGTAAGTTTTTAACCATCCATCTATTAGTGATTAGTGATCATGCAACTGATTTGAAACAAACTTAAATCAAAAGAACCCCGTCAACACCGTATCATCAAAAAGTAAGTTGTTGTATCTTTATCTTCAAAGCAGATCTATTGAACATGCTATCTTCTTCCTCAACTTCAATAGGTTTTTCTTGCTTTATTTCATCCTTTCCTGTAGTAAACTTATTGAAGCCAAATCGACGTCATCAGACCCTTTGTGAGAACCATACAAATAGACCAAATTCATTCTTTTGGTGTCCATTACAAAAATACACTTATAATATTGAATCTCATTTCATTTGAATGCAGGTATTGATGGCTGACCCAACTATATCAACCACACATGGGCTCTATTTGTCTGGTCCTTTCCTCATTGAAGCAAGGGTAAGTTGAAATCCGCATCCATAATTGCAGTAACTAACTTGACGTACGTAAACCAATAGACCTTGACTGAGAATGGATGGCAAAAAGAGTATAGAACCTATACCTCATTTATAGCTTGCAGCGGAGGTCCTCGTGATGATCACTTACATTACGAGATCGTGGCCCAAGGTTTTGGTCACATCAACTTCAAACTTGAAGCAGGACACATCTATTTCTTGCGTGGGAGTTTCTTCCCAACTAATGACAAAGAACAGGACAATACATTGTTTTTTGAGGCATCCGACTGGGTTCTCCTCAACGATGCTGAAAACTTTGTTGGTGATTTAGTTGATGCGGTTGGCATCACCGGAGTTGGAATTATTTGTAAGATCGACAGCATCATTATGCCAACTGCTGGTGGTGTAAAGAAGAATCAAAAAGATGAGAACAAACCAACTACAATTGTAACTGTTTTACACTCTGATTTTCATCCGACCGTGAGTTTTATGTTGTATTCATATTTCTGTTGACAGTAGCTGATGTCCGCGCATTTAGACCAAAGATCCAACACAATTTATGGTGGAATACCATATCCCCCCAACTCCCAACTTGGCTGGAACACCAAAAATTTTGAAGGTTGGTCAAGAGTTCCAATTTCACGGGTTTGTGAAAGATTATGATCCCGATAACTTCCGATATGTAATAATTGTAAGTTGTTTACATATTTTGTATGAGTTATTTACTGACAATGATGGACATACTGATAGGCGAATAAAGTTTCACCAACCAATGGCAACAAAGAATATCAGGTTGATAGTAAAGGTGTCAAAGTCAAGGACGAAAACACCAAACCAATGACCTTAGCTAATAAACCATTAAAGTTAGTTTTACTTGTATCTCCAATGGATCAAAAGACTAACTAATATTGAACTATAGATTCAACCCAAGAAGTTTGAAATCAGCTTTTAAATTGCCCGTCATATCAACGGACTCAGACGTATCAACCAGTTTGCATTTTCCTCCTTCGGATTTTGGACCACATTTGTACCGCTCCGGTTCTTCCAGTTTAACAGGTCCTTCAAGCTCTAACCAATCACCTGATAAACTCAAGCCCAGCAAAATTGCAATTACTGCTCTCAAAGAAAGAGGCCGCAGTCAGCCCAAACATTCGACTAAGAAGGGTAAAACTTTGAATTTGACTGTCTCTGAAGACAAATACATGTTAACTAATATGTACATAGCCGTGATTTCAATTTTTGATTTTGTTCTTCAAAGCGACTTTGAAAGATACCTCCACGTCTACATACCCACTTCCTCGATCCAACTTCTACTCCTTGATATCACTCCTACTACCTCTTCTTGATTCGATTGCCTTCAATTTTCACCAATACGCCAGGCCCTTTATCCCACCCAAGTTCAAATTTCAATAGTAAAGTTTTTCTCTCATCTTATCATCGTTCAACCATCACAATCTCAGGATGCAATCAGATACCTTCCAGCAATGGAGGTGGTTTGCACAGGTTGGCATAGATAGCCTCTGCATAACTTGAAATACAACCAGCACTTCCACTTACCACCTTGTTGCTGGGACGGTCATCCTCCCTGGGGTCATTCTATTTCTTTCCCGAATTCCTTAAGCAACTAACCAGTTTAATCGTCCTGAGTAGAATCTTTCATTCTTATTAATCTGCAACAGACACCGGACTATAATGACAAACTTGGAACCCGGATGGACTACGCACAAGAGGTCTAAATTCGATGCTGCCGATGGGTACGTAGCAATGGCCAACCCCTTACATCCTAATGAGAACGCTCTTTGGATCACTTATTATGCTATGACCCTCCACAGCGATATCCAAAGCAATGGCTCTGATGCCTGCTTACCGGTGGGGAAAGCAAAGTCTTTCACGACTATTACTACTTTTACTCTTTCACACTTTTAATAAATCAATCTCACATTATTTAAAAGCCTACTCTTTTATTAGGATCTACTCGATAACTCTCAGTTTGGAATTCTCATATACAAATCTTCTAATTAAGTACTTCAAAGTTGATAAGTTTCATTTTTTTCAAGTCTAATTTATTCAACATCACGGTACAACAGAAACAAGCTAAATAAATATTAATACATATAAATGAATAAGATTGAATAAAACAACTAGAATCAAAATTAAGATGAAAGAATGAAACAAACAAGTAATTAGTACATTGATTATTCAAACTCAAAAGAAGGAAGATAATAGAAGATGAAAGACTTACACATTAAAGCCTAGAAATCGAAAAATCGATCGATCTAAAAGATAAAGGACACAAATCTAGAGTTCAGATTAGGAAAGAAGAATAATCAAATCATCAATTAGGATATGAAGGAATCAAGCAGAAAGAACTAAAAGAAGAAGAAAAGAAAACTTACAAAATTGAACCTCAAAATCGAATCGATCGATTGAATTAGATGAAACCAAGAAGATAACAAGCTATAATCAAATTGAGAAAGAATAAAGAAGAACAAGCAATTAGTTAGTATATGAATGATCAAACTAAAACAAGATGAAAGAAAAAAAAAAAAGGAACTTACAAATTTGAACTTAGATTTGAATCGATCGAATTAAAAGAAAGAGTAACTAAAACAAATGAAAAGACTTACAAATTGAAATTTAGATTTGAATCGATCGGTTTAGGAAGGTGATGACTGAAAAGGCAGCAAGCTAAAGATGAAAAAAAAGAGAACAAATTAACCAATTAGTAAATGGAAGAACTAAAAAAGAAGAAAAAGAAACTAAAGAGAGAGATACAAGAAAAACTTACATTAATAATAGAAGATCGAGATCGAAACTAAAGGAAATCCGAGATGGAATGATGTCATTGATTGATTGGGACGAGTTGAAAAGTGAGGCTGTGATCGAGGTGGTTGGAAAAGAGGAGATACGAGTTTGTGATTGAGTTGAAGGGTATAAGAAGAGTGGGTTGATTGAGTTGAGGAGTCTGTCTGTCCGGAAATTGTATTATGGAGTGTGAGTGTTAGTTTTTTGTTAGTGTTCTTTTAAAAGTGTTATTGAGTTAGTTAAACCCTTGTAAGGGTATTAGTGCTAGTTTTTTATAAGACTCGAGAGTCAAGAGTGTGAAATCTGTGTTCTGGTTTTGTGAAATCTTTGTTTGTAACAGTTGTGTCTGTGAAATTTGTTACAGTAGTGTGTTAATTTTGGCATTTCAACAGTTTTAGAGATATTCGAGTAGTTTTTTTTAGTATAAAAATTAGTAGTTTTTTTATAGTTTAAAGTGTAGTCTAATAGAAGTTTAAGTAGCATCTACTCAGTCATCAATCATTTTAAAATTATTTTATTCTATTTTTTAATTCAAAGAATTAGTTTTGAAGATTTTTTTAAAATTGAATTGGACTGCGAAACATTATCAATTATTTGTTTAACTTTGTTTATCCATTCTATAGCCCTAGCTTAAGCACGTCTAGTGTTTAAGGGCCTCGGTAACCACTCTGTACAGTCTTAGACTTGTTGGAGCTCTTTCGGACCAGGTTTGGTACTGATTTTATCAGTGGAAGGGGTAAATTGAAGTTATTACAGGTGTTGGTTGTGTGTAACAGGAAGGTTTCTTTTTGAATTGTATCCCTCTGCTTCTGACTTAGAGATTATTATAGGTTGAGGGCAGCTTAACTGCACCTGTTGTACTCCCATTCTCTCCGGCGGTACTTCATCCCCTCTCCGGCTCAGCCTACGCTACACTGCGTAGGAGTTCTACATCTGGTGACTCCACTGGGGCAATTCAAAACAACCTTTTTGGCTTCGCAGGTGCTCTTCCTTCAAAAGTTTATTTCTCTCAAGATCTCAAATTTTCCACTCAACTTTAAAATTATTCAAATCTCAAGATTATCAAAGTTATGTTCATACAAGTTACTCAGTCTTATATCTCAATTCATAAAACTCATTACATCAAGTTACATCTCAACTTTACACCTCCGAAATTCATAAAAAATCTCAATTCTCATTATGTCATCTCAAATGAAATCTAGTCAAGGGATAGTCTCAAAGCCTTTGGAATTTAGTGGAAGCAATAGTGGTAGTAGTGGAGGTCAAGAAGGATTAAAAGGGGGAGAGAAGATGTTATATAGGGATAAGGAGGAAAGTGGGGACGAATCAGGCGGTGTCACTGAAAAGGGTACAGGAGGTTTGGAAAAAGAGGAGATGACAATGGAAGAAGTGCAAGGAATAGTTAAAGGGGGGGGAATTACAATCCAAGAAGCTGAGGAGTATTTGGAGGGAGCAGAACTTGAGGCGGAGAACATGAAGAGAGTATTGAAGATGTTGAAGGTGGCTAAGAAGGAAGAAAATAAGGCAAAGAAGATCAAGAGTGAAAGTAGAGGAAAAAGCAGGAAGTATTATAGCGATAGTAGTAGTAGTGAAGATAGCTCAAGTTCGGAAGATGAAAGTGAAATAGAAATCAAGATGAAGAAGAATAAAAAGGGCAAGAAGAAAGTTGTGAAGATTGAACCTCAAGATTCAGCATTACAGTTTAGTCGGGGTGATGATGTTCAGAAATTTCTTCGGGACTTTGAGGTGGCGGCACAAGTTGATGGAGCTAACGGTGTGGATATGGCAATGCAGGTGTGTGCATTTGTGGATGGGAAGGATTTAAAGAAGGAAACTAAGGAACCTCAAGGTTGGGGAGACGGAGAATGGGACTGGAAGTTATTAAAAATTGGAATGAAGGACCGGTATGCATCAATTCGGGAAGCGCCTAAGTACACGGTGGAAGATTTGAAGGAATTAACTTTGGATTGTGAAAGTAATGGCGGTATTGATTCAAAATTAGAATTTGAAGGTTTTAGACACAAGTCTGATAGTATCTTAGGCTATCTTAAAAATTATGATTACATTGACTCGGAGGATGAGATATGTAATTATTATTATAGAGCATTTTCAGACGGTATGCAGAAGAAAATCAAGGAGAAGCTCAAGAGGGATGGAGATTTAAGAAAGACGAGGGATGGAAGGCACCGGTTGCCTGGATGGAAGATACTTAAGAAGACTATACATACGGTAGTTCAAGAAGAGGTGGAATTAGTCTTTGAAGAATTGAGAGGAAAGAAGGACATAGAAATTAAGAAGGATGAAGAACTTAAGGAGAAAGTAGTACAGAAGGATAAAGAGAGGAGAGGAATGAAGATGGAAGGTTTAAATAAGAAGATTGGAGGAAAGTCAACAGATCAAGCAACAATTAGTGAATTAGTTAGACAATTTGCAGCGTGGAGCGGACAGGGAATGAGTAGACCTTTGGCTATGAATCCAAATAGACAAGTCCATGGCGGTTTCCAGAATAACTCATACTCTGGACAACAAAACAATTACAGGCCACCAGCTCAAAAGAGAGGAGGACCTGTACCACCTTTCAATCCGGCTACTTATTTTAGAAATGGACAACAAGGTCAGCAACAGGGTCAGAACGGAGTTGGTCAGAATTTCAACAATGGACCTGGTTTCAACAACAATAACAATGGTGGACAATATAGAAATTTCAGTACAAGTAGAGGAAGAGGCGGTTTTAGTGGAAATAGAGGAGGATATGGTGGAAATCAAGGTGGAAGAGGAGGTTACAATTCCAATTCTCAATTGAATACTTCAGCTGGCCAGTACCAAGGCAACAATGGAAACCAGCAACCAGCCAACAGACCATTTGTACCACCTCCCAACAATGGGCCTCCTAGAGGAGAATTTCAACAGTCAACTTTTCAAGACGGTCCTCTGATGTGTTATTATTGTGCAAGAGAAGGTCATGGTCATAATAGATGTCCTGACAAACGACGGGATATGAATGACGGATATGTTACTGAACATAATAATACTTACATATTATCGAATGGAGCAGTAATTAGGTGGGATAGTAGTAGACCTATTAGAGCTGTAGTTGCGGATTATTCTTTACAAGTAGAGCAAGCTAAGATTGCGGCAAAGAATGGAGCAAATCAAAGTACTCCTCCAGCAGATCAAACTAAGACTGGCGAGGCACCTGAAAAGACGGTGGTAACGGGAATTTTAACTAAAGATGAAACGGGTGGACCTCAAATTAAGGAACTTAGAGCTAGTTGTGGAGTATTGGAAGATTGGAAGGTTCCAGGAATTACAAGTAGAGGACTTAAGGCTACAATGGCAGGAGCTGGTACAAAGATTTATGATGTTGAAGTTAAAAGAGGATTAAGAGGACGAGCGGAACCAGTCAAAGCGCCAAAGAAAAAGAAGGTTTCAATGAGGAAAGAAGATGAAGTTCAAGAAGATGATATTATGGAATTAGCAGAAGATGAAGATAGCAGTGATGACATACCTTTATCAAAATTAGACAAAAGAAAGAAGCCGA